TAATAAAATGCAAAGCCAAAATAGCTTCACAGATTTTGTGGGAGAAGCAGGAAGTATTTTGAAGAGTGCTGCAGAGCAACAGTGGACTCCTAATGGGACAGCTGATGAAGTAACTGACACACAAATAAACTTTCTTGCAGAGCAGCTGCAACTTTTAACCGTGTTAAAAAACAGACGGCGTTACAGTTGTAGCACATTATGTTTCGCTTTCATGCTGTTCATTAAATCTCCAGCATGCTACCGGTTTATAAGAAAATCTCGTATGTTGTGCCTGCCTCATCAAAGAACACTGCACAATTTAACTTCACAGTTGTCATTGTCTACTCATACTGGCAGCATTTCACATTACTTGAAATTGAAACAAGACAAACTGACAGAGCTAGAAAAGATTGTAGTGGTTCAGATGGATGAAATATATGTTAAATCTGCAATTACTTACTCTGGGGGCAAAATATTTGGCAATGCAGACAATGCAAAAGAAGCAGCAACAACAGTGTAGGCTTTCCTCATATCTTCAGTTTTTTGAAGCTACCAGGAAATTATAGAGCTTTCACCTGTGAACAGAATGACATCTCAGGATCTACGTTTGAAATTACTCCACTGTATCCACTTTGTACAGGAGTGTGGTTTCACAGTAGTTGCTGTAATTGCAGATAATAGTGCTGTCAATCGCAGAGTTTACAGTGATCTCCTAAAACCAAGCCAAACTTTTATTGAGAACCAAGATTTTGCTAATAAAAAAATATTTTTACTGCATGATTCTGTACACTTGCTAAAATGCATGTGGAGGAACTGGATCAACCAGAAGGACACAAACCAGACATTTACTTATCCTTTAATAACTGGACAAATGCTAAACGTCTGTGATACTGATAGAGCTGCAGAAGCTAACTTTTCTCATTTAAAGAAACTGTATTATAGTGAGCAAAAGAATATTGCAAAACTGGCACCTAAACTTTCCCACAAATCCATCTATACCTCCAGCATGGACAAGCAGAATGTTCCTCTTGCTTTGGCAATTTTTAATGAATACAATGTTGCTGCTCTGCGTCTAGTAGGCAGAAATGAAACAGCAGATTTTATTGAAGCCATCCTTAGATGGTGGCATATTGTTAATGTAAAAGGTAAATTATAGAAAAATAAAAACCGACGCATCCTTGCTGGATAAATCATCTAAGAAAAGAAAACTGACCAAATTCACCCAGTAATGGATTTCACGGATTATGTAACTTCAATTTGGACAGCTACATGGTAAGTAGTTTCTGTAGTGCTTTTAGTTTCTATGTCATATTGTGAATATGTGAATAGTTTCTGTTGTGATTTCTGTTTCTATGTCATATTGTGAATATGTGAATAGTTTCTGTTGTGATTTCTGTTTCTATGTCATATTGTGAATATGTCAGTAGTTTCTTTGGTGCTTTCTGTTTCTATGTCATATTGTGAATATGTGATTAGTTTCTGTTGTGCTTTGTTTATGTCTTATTGTCAATACCTATATCCAGGGCTGTTCAACTAAGTCAATTTAGGTTAACTCAGAAGCCAACATTGTGAAATCAGGGATCATTATGGGCCAGCAGTCCGAGTTCCAGCTTAGAAAAACCATTTTTTCATCCCAACCAGCAGTGATCCGCGGGCCACTCGCTAGGCCTCAGCGGGCCAAATTTGGTCCGCGTGCTGACTGTTGAATAGCCATGAGCTTACTGCTATACATTTTGTGGGCTAGTACTCAGGGGACGGCCGGGAACCCAAAAAAAAAAAAACAGGTACTGTCTGAATGAAAAAGTAACATAACGTTAGCCAGCGGCGGTGACGTCACGTCCCGCTGATGACGTCAGTAGCTAGGCCTGGCCATGGGTTAAACGTCATCATCAGTACAATCAGAGAATCAGAGTACTGCGCCCTTGGGGGAACTATTGGTCAAAAGTCTGTATGTACTGTTTATCTTTTAAACTACTCAGTCCTAAATAATCGATGAAACCACACACATACCTCTCATTACTGAATAAAGATAAACATACACTTTAGCAGTTAGCTGTTGATAATTTATTACGAGCATACTTTGAATCTTTTCTCCAAAATATGCCGGCGTGGTGGGTAATGAAGAGGCAGACAGATTGGCTGGATCTGCACCACTGGGTGGTGAATTTTTACAGGACAAGGCAGATGTTGTCAAGGCCCTTTGGGAACAAGCAACGGAATCAGTAGAGAAAGAAGATGATTATGGCCTGGAGAGAATAAGGCACCTGGGTGTAACCAGAGAGTCTGGCTCACTACACTCAGAGGAAAGGCAAGACGGACTTTTAACCAGATTGTGACCGGTTCCATCAGTATTGGAACTTTGCGCTGGCTGCTGAATGTGAGGACGGAGCATGCATGGGAATGCCCCGAGTGCTGTGATGTCAATTCTTGACTCAATTCAACTCAACTCAATTTATTTCGAAACAGTAAATTCTGCGTGAAAGGTGATAAAACTCAATGTCTCTATGGTTAGCGTACCTAGCAGAAGGTGTTAACTTCTTTCTCTGCCTGACAACCGATTTCTGCATGATGGTCCTCGTGTTTGTTGTTGTTCAATACCCATTTCCAACAACCGATTCCTGCATGATGGTCCTCGTGTTTGTTGTTGTTCAATACCCATTTCCAACAAGCGATTTCTGCATGATGGTCCTCGTGTTTGTTGTTGTTCAATACCCATTTCCAACAACCGATTTCTGCATGATGGTCCTCGTGTTTGTTGTTGTTCAATACCCATTTCCAACAAGCGATTTATCGTCGCTGACTCCTTGATCTCAACGTCTCTGGAACGCAGCGCACTAGAATACCTAGCGATACCATCCTATACAAGGCATACTTCAAGAAAGGAGGATGCCATAGAACTTTAGGGAGACTAAGAACGCAGTGGATAGACAACATCAGAGCAGTTGAATAGTTTCAAGAGTATATGGTCCAGACGGGCCAGAAAAGTGTAAATAAACAGATTATCCTCACTGCAGATCAGGCAAGTCCCTAAGCGCCTGGATCCTTTCTTTAGTATATCCTTCAGCGTGTGGCGAATGATAACACTTTTGTACTGGTTTCCTGTTCTTCTGTGGCTATCTGTATAGTGTTCAGGTTTGGCGAAACCTCTTTTGACCCAAAGTTCTTGTAATCTTCTGAGTGATGCCAATTCAACGTCGTCTCCTGAATCACCTACTCGTCCTACCTCCTTAAGAGCACTGAGAATGTCGGCATTGCTTTTTATGTACCTACTGAGCCCAGCCTGCAAGCAAATCCGCTCGTTCATTCCCCCGTACACCAGAGTTTCCTGGCACAAAAAGAAACTAATTCCTACTAGGCGAGATTTCCACAGCAGCTCCAGCCAGTCTCTTCGAATCTATCCTGTCTTTATCCTTTTAAGCATGCTCGTGGAATCACATAGAAAGCACGCATAATCAATGCCATAGGAGAGACTAAATCTGTGAGGCTTTCAGTTTCGTGGACAATGATTTTCCACTCAATATATTGCATACCCTGGGTGTACCACTTGGAGCCGCGAGACAGGGAAATCATGCGGGAGCCACGTGTCGTTACATCAACCAGAACAGAATGGGAGTTGTTAGTTCAAAATCACTTAGAGACATACTCAGGAGAAGATCGGAGCACTTATGGTTATGTGCCATGAAGATGATTTCTAACATGAACTATGAAGAAATTGTGAAAATACGGGGTTAACTGCAGTCAAGCTAATACAAGGCATTCCAGTGAAATTTGACTAGAAAGCTTAACCAAATGGGGAAGCAGAAAAACGTGCATAAAACACAAATAACGTAACTTTTCGGCCGGGCAGTCTTTGTCAAATATGAAGCACGCATGACCAGAAGAGTGACAATCAGAACCTTACATTTTCCTCGGTAGTGGTTTTGGTGTCGAGGGAAACTTAAGGTTCTACTTCTTGCTCTTCTGATCACCTCGATGATAGACATATCATGCTGTGTAGATTTTCTTTGATTTTCAATTTTTATCTGGTTTTGAAGCAGAACACTACTGGTGGGAATTTCCGATGAACATTATATTAATTGTAGAAAACAGGTGCATTTGCGCGTATTGACGTTCATGTTTCAGCACCAACAAGAAAATGGCTGCTACTAGAACTATTTCATTTAAAGAACAAGTTCAGCTAAGCTTCTAAACGCTCAGGCGGATATAGCAAGTGAATGTGTAGAGCGTGTTGCATTTCTGATGTATTTCGTGTTCTCAAAGCTATTGATTGTAATGGTATTAAAACATTATTTGTAGTTGATTTCGGATGAATGTTTTATTTTTTAACCTTCTTTCTACAAAACACGCGAGCGTATTCACTCGCTGTCGATTTCTATAATGAAAATATACATAGATTCAAGGTGACACCGTTTTTCTGCGGATAAGAACTGATTCGTGGTTGATTATAAGTGTTTTCCTAAAGAGAAAATCTATGTCAAGGTTAATGTTGATTTGGTCTCTTTGCTTAACGTAATGAGTCAAGGTTGATTACAAACGTTTATTATAGATAATAACTTATTCGAGGTTCACTGGACATTTTTTCAATACATAATAACTGGTTAAAATTTGATTGAGAACTATTTCCTAATAGCTGAACAAGGACACATTCCAGTAAATAAGGTCTGATTCAAGATTGACGGACGACATTTGCCCACAAATAAAGACTGATTCCAGATTGACTACTAACTTTTCCCCTTTAAAACATGTTTATTTAAGACACGAGAAAAAGAAACAATTTTAAATAAAGACGTAAATGATGTAACGCCATCAGAGAATGCACCCCTTTATCCGCCTCAGGAAATATTTTTCGTTTTCCCCACTATACTATAATTAATTTATGTACATCCCGGTTACGCACCAGCGCTACAAATGTTCGAGTTGAAGAAAACTGTTCCAGTATAAGTAATATTTATTTAGGATTTGTCTTACACGTAACCGAATAGCGCAGACATTAATTCAACAGTGAATAAAACGAAGCCATCATGGACTCTCCCTTACAACTCACAGTTGTGAACCAATCGCAAGCTAGCGACGAAGCGTCAGCGGCGGATGAAGTGAAAAGGACAAGTTTGCGATTTTCTAGAGACGGATCCCAATGTTTAGACACAGATGCAGTTGTGCTAAACTTTGAGCATATTACTATGTTTGACGAAAGAATTTCAGTACCACGAAGTAGCTTCAGGGCCAAGAAAGTGGAGTCAAACGTGGATCCCCAGAAATATCGACTATTTATAGAGAGCAAGATAGAAGATCCACGCTTGGTCAAACAGGATTTCATGAAGTTTAAAGCTTCTAAGGTAGTGTTTGTGTGTATGTGTGTGTGTGCGTGCGCGCGCGTGTTTGTGTGTGTGCGCGCGTATGCGTGAGCGCGAGTGTGTGTGTGTGTGTGAGAGATACATTATCCTTTCTTTTTCCCCTTCTCACTTGTGTCTAGTTTTGGGGTTGTAAACGCAGTTTGGAATTACTAGAATTGGGCGAAGCCTTGTGTGGCCTTGTGCCACGGGATCGTTACAGTAGCCATGAAGGGCATTCTGGGTCACCCAAAACGTCCTGGCCAACGAGGCTCTGTTGAAGTTGAGACAGGCCTAGCAAGCTGGCAATGGATTTACTACCGCTACAACAAATGTACTGAGATATAAAGGGACCGATCAAACAGCATTTGACCATGGCAATTTTAAATACGAGACAGACAAGCGAAATACAAGACGGCAACACTCTACACCGCATGTCTGGGAAATAAAACAGAAAAGATGATTGAAACAAAATGGAAAGAAGAAAAATCAAATGAATGGGATTAGCTGATGTAAGACGCAAGTGAATTGGAAACCAGAAAGTACACAGATACTCTCTATCAATTCAGGAGGAATAACATCGAAAAATGGAGTGGGTTTCCTGTTGTATCCAGACACAGCTAAGGGACGTAGAGCAAGAGGTAGACAAAGAACAAGATGGAAAGATAACACCAAAGAAACTCTACAGCACCACGATGTGTCTATGGTCGAAGAATCCAGAAGAGAATGAAGCAGGACCTTATATCTCCTTCGACACCCGAAGCGGTAAAAGAGGACGTAAAAAGGTAAAAGAATAAGAAGAAGAACGCAGTTGTGTAATACCGACATACAAGGGATCGCAGGCAACTAAGGACGCTTTGGCCGCAGACCGCTTTGGGTACATTTTGACAATGATAGACATATTGTTCAGAAAGAAATGGTTAAGTATTAGTGCAATAACTTGCTGCTTACTTCTTCTTCTTCGGCATTCCGAGCCCTTGAGGTTCATTACTGCAGATTTCACCCGCCTCCATTCTCTTTCCACTTGTTGACACTACGTGTTTGCAGGTCTGTCTGGACATTATCTCTCCATATTCTTCTAGATCTGCCTCGTGGTCTATGAACATTCATCTTCCTTGTGTATACAGTTTTTACTTCTCTGTCATTTGACAATTCTTTCAATATGCCCCATCTATTTCAGTCTATTAGCTCTCATGATGCCAGTGATCAGTGGTAATTTTAACAGGTTATAAATTTAATTAATGCTTCTCACTCTGCTGCTTAAAAATGAAAAAAAAAATTGCCTAATAAAGCCAAACTGGCAAATAAACGCTGGAGCAGATTAGGGACGTCCTGAAGAAGGCATGCAATTACTTTTAACCAGTCGTTAAAGTGTGCGTTTGTCCGATGGGAATTATCATAATTAGGCGACAGGTAGGCATTTCGCCTATGACCGTGAATCCGGGACAATAATTAAAGAAACCAAATAATTCAAAACTCCCCTAATAAATATCTGCATGGCTTAGCCAAATGAATGGAACGAGATAATAACCCTGACATGATCCGCGATTCTGGTGATCATATGAGAGGATGAAACACGACCGTTTGCACTTATCGGCATGCCACATAATGACGATGATAGGTGCATGTAAAAGACACGGTTCCACGCATTTAGATGTGATAGACACATGGTATTTATCCAGCATTTGTAAAGACCAGCCGCCTTTACTTCTCGAAATTGAAATCCTAACCTTTACGACTAAGTGCGACTGCACTAACCACGCGGTCATAAATCTTCAGGAGCAATCCCCACGCCTCTCTCCCACACCAAACAAGTAATAACAATAAGCAGTAATGGCAACTTAAAAAGAAGTTTGAACAAAGAGCGCACAAACTATTGATTGCACAATTTATTTCACATCATTATTTTCCCGTAACACTACGTGTCGTTGGGTCACCAGTTTCTGTTGACTGTCTGATCAGCTCTTTCCACCTTTGGCGGGCAGTTGTGATGGACTTTATGGTTGCATGCCTAGGGCCTGTCCAGTCAGTCAGGTTCTGTAACCAGATCTTTCTTGGCCTGCTTCTTCTCCTCTTTCTACTACTGAGCCATTTAGTATTGTTTTTGAGAGACCGTTAGATCTTATTTCATGTCCACACCATTAAATTTTTCGCCTTTTCACTGTTGTTAAAGGAGGTTTATAGTTGCCAGTGTGCTGAATAATGACAGCGCAAGACAATTTATTGCCTGGCATATTTCGTTGTATCTTGCCAGCTGCATACTGCAGTAACAATTAATTAAAATCAAGCAAATAAATGATCCTTCGAACAGCCATGCGTTGTCGGCGTCTGCTTGAGCCTTGCAAACATGCTTCGTAATTCCGTATCAGACTCAAAGCGATTTGCAGCAGACCGCCTTTATACATATTATATTTGTATACGTTTATACATATAATTTGCACATTCTTCTGGAAAAGCAGAGACCAGGAAGAAATCCGGAAGTATGGAGTGGGATTTGTAAAGAATTCAGTTTTGGGATCAGTTGAGAGTCAGACTGGAGGAAATGACAGATTATTATGCCTACGATTGTGTACCTCAAACGATTTTATCACCCTTGTTACTGCATATACCCCCACTCTAGCGTCAACCGGGGCCGTCGGTAGGGGTTAACTATCGAGAGCCCTGCGTCAACAGTAGATCTCTATCTCTCTTTACCCCACCAGGACATCACACAAGCGATAAACACCTGATGACACAAAGTGCCACCATGTGGATGAGGATCACCAGTGGAGAGGTTCCAGACACCGCGTTCAGCCATTAGACCATATTTATGGTCGGACTATATTGATAGCAACACTCGCTATCGCCATGGGCTGTGAGTCCCCCGCTCTTCATAGCGCAATAGATACTACTATTGTCTGGAAAAACGGAAAGCTTCCAGTCAACCAACGCTCGTAGTCTACATCTCCGTTCGATACTATCTTTGGCAATCTTGATTAACCCAACCAATTTGGCCATCGTCATCAACGTTTGCAATAGTTTCTCTCGAAAGTTCTTTGCGAGTTTCTTCTGGTGCATTTACTTTCCATGTCATTGCCTATCTGGCGATTTGCTGTACGCTTCCAACCGGTATATCGTCATCTTTTTTTTATTTTATAACCGTTGATGCCAGTTGTTGTTTACATATTTCTGGTTAAAAAAAAAAATCTGCGATCTTAAAAAAATACCATCATCACCATCATCATCATGAGCCGATCACCAGAATCACGGATCAGCTCAAGTTTTTTTGTTGTTGTCTCGCCCAGTCCCTGAACAGTCCATCTGGGTATTTATTACTTTGCCTTCCTCTTGCTCTCTTTGAAAAATGTATGACTGTATGCAAAAGATGCGTTTCCTATTTTTTTTAAATGTCTTCTTGACCAAGCCTGTAGGAGTGGCCGATGCTAAAAGATGGAGAAAGCATCAAATTGGTAAGCTACCTACCAGGTGGCCGAAATCGCTTGTGCATGGATCGGAAGTGTGCTCTACAGAAGCCAGCTCTGAAACTGTGTCGGGGGTGGAAACAATCCCTGTTGCAAAGATTACGTCTACAGAAGTGGATGCCCTGCACCCCATCGCCCAGACGCCCTCAGTCAGTACACAGAAATCGGTGACAAAGATTGCGTTGTCTAAGGTAAGTAATGATTTTATGCTCCAAACCTTTCACACGCCTTGCAGTCAGGACAAATAAATCGGGGGTGGGGGGGGGGGGGAGAAATTGTGTTGCTAAAAGTTAGTTGTGATTTTATGCTGCGAACCGCATACACGACTTCAATTAGCACCCAACAATCATTAAAAGAACTTGTGTTGCCCCTAGTAAAATTTGATTTATATCTCAGACCGTCCACACGCCTACAACAAGTATAAAGAAATCGGGAAAAGATATTGTGTTTCCTAAAGTAAAAATAGGCTTGTGTGTCTTTGGGGCCCTCACGGGAAGCAACGAATAGTGACACTGCACCCTACCAGGCATGTCGTAAGAGGCGAATAAGGGTAGGGTTGGGCTTGAGGTTGGCTACCTCATCCTGTAAAAACAATAGCCACAAAAACCAACCAACCATGGATAAGTCAAAAAGACAAGCAAGTAAAACCAACCAACCAAGATGAGGGTAGAAGAAGTATGACACGGTGTGGAGAAAGCCGTGAGGAGTCCGGATCGTTGACGTACCTCCTCTCAACTATGAAAACCTCCAGAATTGGCACCTGGAATGTTAGAACTCTCTATGATATAGGGAGAAGAATTGAAGTAGCAGGGGAAATGAAACATTATAGAATTAGTATTTTAGGGTTATGTGAAACTAGATGGACTGGGATGGGAAAAAGTATTATAAATTCAGTGGAAACTATTTTTTCTTCAAAAATTGATCACCTATGTATTAACAAAAAGTGTAGATCATTTCTTTACGATGTTAGGGCTTTCAGAGGTGCCGATGTATTTACTGACCATTTCCGGGCGGTAAGTAAAATTAAGTTGAAACTTAGAAAAGATATATAACATCTTATAACAATAGAAACCAACCTTAACTTCGTTATCTCATAGATAAAGAAGTTAAGGAACAATTTTTCAGTTACAGTCTCTAATAAGTACCAGGTGTTGCAGCAGTTAGCTGAAGATGTCAGCACAAAAGTCTGCTGGGATTAGATCAAAGGAATTTGGAATGAATCTTGTGTAGAAGTTCTTGGCAAGAAAGAACGGAAACATATAGCATGAATAACACTAGAACCCATATTCAATTGATTGAAGAAAGGGAAAGTAAAAAAGCAGACTTAAAATAGCAAAACTAGAGCTGCTAAAGCTAGAGCCAAGGATAAATACACAGCAGCCAATAAGGAAGTTAGGAGGCATATAAGGGCAGATAAAGTTAAATATCTAAATGATCTAGCACAAGAAGCGGAGACTGCAGCAGCAAAAGGAAACCTCAAAGAACTTTACAGTAACACAAGAAAATTAGTAGGTAAATATAGTCAGCCAACTGGATCAATAAAAAAAAGTCAAGGATAAGTACTTGCTAACACTAAAGATCAAATGAACAGATGGGTTGAATATTTTGAAATGCTTCTAAATAGACCAGGTCCAGAGGTTCCCCCCAGATATCCAGCCTTTAGAAATTAAACTGGATATCAACTGTGAGATACCATCTAAAGAGGAAGTTAGAAAAGCTATCAATCTTCTCAAGGAAGGAAAGGCGGCAGGCCCAGATGGTATCCCAGCTGAAGCCACTGGGGCATAGGAATAAAGGAAGGCCAAAAAATACATGGAGAAGAGAGCTGGAGAATGAAGTTAGAAAGATGGGGAGGACATTGGGAGAGCTTCATGCAATGGTGAAGGATAGAACGACTTGGCGTGAGTTGGTTGAGGGTCGATGCTCCATTGGGGGATAGAAAGGCAGAAGAGAGAAAGTAAAAATAAGATTTGATGTCTCAATTTTCCTACATGCCTTCAACTGGTACACAGAAATCGGGAAAAGAAATTGCGTCACCTACAACAGTGATTCCGAATTTGACACATTAAGGCAAACTTTTTGGCCAGAAAGAACAACAGTGGAACGTAAACTCTATGGACCACTGAATAAACTTACAACGACAGTGAAATTTATACAAGAGACAAAACGGCTGATATAGACAACTTATTTCAGGCGAACGAAAGAAGAAAAAGAAGATATCCTGAAAGTGGCGCTACATTCAGCTTGTCTTGATAAAAAGCAAGAAGACAACCACCACTAGGCAATCCGTCTAGTTTGAAATGATACATACTTGGATGGGTGAATCTACAGTAAAACCTCGGTGAAACGAGGCGGTGCTCAGATATCACACCGACCGCCTTTGCTTCCTAGACCATTATCTAGTCCCCATTTTCGAAAAGAAACAACAGTTATCAATGTTTCTTGATCATGCATCATGATACTGGAATCTGAAGTTGAAAATGCCCTTAAACAGGGTAGGGGGAATAGATGGTTTTACTGCAGAAAAGCTCATTGACCGTAAGACAACAGCAACAGCTGGGTTAACCAGAATCTTTAACGTGGCTTGGGAGGCAGGGAAAGTTCCAAGTGACTGGCAGAGAGCAATCTGTTCCAATTTGGAACAATAAAGGGGACAACAGAGACTGCGAAACATACAGGGGCATCTCCATCCTGAGCCATACTAGTGAGATGTTTGTAAAAATACTCGAGCTTAGGGTTTAACCAGTGCTAGATACCCAGTTAAAGTAAGAGAAAGTTCGGTTTCGGGAAGAGTTTTTAAAAGGAGTAGAAAATTATAGGGAAGAAAAAAAGTTGGTAAGAAACAACAAACAGTTTATGTTAGCTTTACAAAATCGATCACAATAAACAAAGGACGTTGCGGCGATTAGCCTTCATCAGCACATAAAGAACAATACAGTACATCAGGAAGAGAACGATCTGTACAGATCCAATATTTTCTTTAAGGCAGTTTATTGGATATGATAAAGTCAACATCTTATATTTATAGATTAAGAGAAGGCGTTCAATCAAGTCAACAGGTGCAAACTGTGGAAAATATTTGAAGATTATGGTATTCATGATCAACCGTTTAGTGACATCATGGCTCTTTACCAAGATAGTCATTGCACAGAAAGAACAACAGAAGGAATGACAGACTGGTTTCCCATCTCATCAGATTTCAAACAGGCATGTGTCCTCTCACCATTGCTATTTATTACTTACATGGATAGAATAACATAGGAGAAAAATACAGACATTGAAGAAATCAGTGAACTTCTTTTTGCAGACGATCAATGGCTAATACACCAGCAAAACAGGCATTACAACACCTTATTGACTCCTGACATTACGCCTGCACAAAGTATGACATGAGAATAAGCAATGCGAAAACTGAGGACGTCAAAGAAAACCTTAAAATGTTGATGAGAGAATCCAGAGATGCTGGAAAAGATTTATCCAGGATATCGAAGTGATGGCACAAGATAACATGGAACAGAGAACAAATCTGCCAACCATTTGTGACATAATAATGCCATAACAGGACAATGAATGAACGATTTTTCGACGGGGTCGACCTAGGAGTCAAAGTCAGTTCTGAAGAAAAAGAATTATGTCTCTGTGGGGATTCGAACTCTAGAACTTCGCACCGGCAGGCAAGAGTCTACTCACTTCGCTATCACACAGCTGCAGTGTTGCACCTTGCATTATTTACTCTAATCTAAGTGCATGACATAAAGTGTAGAGTTGTATTTCATTTTACAGAAGCTAGGAAAACTGTGCTGCTGTTGTCAGAAGGGGACACAAGAAACCAAGGGAGAGTGTGTCAATGTTGAAAATGAGCAGTCATGAAATTCCCAAGCCAAAGTCCCCCCACTTTCAGGGCCGACGTCAGGGTGAGATACCCATTCATGTTTTGTGTTTATGTCGTGAAATGGCAATTATAGATATAGATCTTCTTAGCGGTCTTAGAGTCCATGCCGTATGCCGTTGGTAGTCATGTCTATCCACAACCTTCTGTCTTGTGTACTTACAGTCAGTTCGGACACTGATGATCTTCCAAGCTATGACGTCAAACTGTCTAGCATCTTCTCTCTCTCTCTCTCTCTCTCTCTCTCTCTCTCTCTCTCTCTCTTTCTCTCTCTTAGCGTTCACCGGCCGCAAACTCAGGTTCAGGTTGCTCGTCCACTTCTCGACTTAGGTCTTGTTTCAGAAGAGTATTTCGTGCACATCCGTTTTACAGGTCTGACTTATTTGTATGCAGACTGTTGGATCTTTAAAGAATAGGTCATATTTCATGGAACAAAAACATTACATAGGTTTTCTGACCTTTACTGTGGAGACAACACCTGATTGATTGATTGATTGATTGATCTCAATAATACAAGAAAGACACGGACACAGAATTCGACTCGGGATAAATAGTCTGCCAACCCTATGTGATAGAATAATGCCACAACAGGACAATAAATAAACAATTTTCTTGATCTCAGTAAAACAAGAAAGATATGGATACTGAACTCGACTTTTTGAGCATGCATGCATAAAGTGCATTGCATCTGACCGCTAAAGGTGGAGAGAACTGATTAGACAGTGAACAACAGCTGGTTACCTAACGTCACGTAGTGTTATGGGAGAACGGTGATAATGATTATGAACTGAATGATTAGTGTAATTTGTGGGGTTCAGTATTTCTATTTGAATAAAGAAAACTCAAACAAAATACATGCCATCCTTTTTAGGATGAAATTTTTTCGTTTTTCGAAGCTCCCACCCTGGCTCTTGCCAGGAGCCGCAATATAGCCAGGCCATAAATATGGCCAACTGGCTGAACGCGGTTTCTGGGACCTCTCCACGGTCATCCGCATCCACATGGTGGCACTTTGTGTCATCTGGTGTTTATCGCTTGTGTGATGTCCTGGTGGGGTAGAAAGTCAGAAAGTAAGACAACACAAACAATAGATTGCACAATTTATTGCCTGGTATATTTCACTGTATCTCTTCAGGTGTATACTACAGTAACACTGACATAAATAAAGCAAATAACTGAAGCACAAATTCAATAATAATCGAACGCAATTGCCTGAATGCACTTGACGAGATACAACAAAATAAGCTAGGCAATAATTTGTGCGATCTATTCTGTCTTCTTCATTCAAATTTACAACTAGGAAACATTGCGTTGACACTGTTTCTGTTTAATTTCTCTAGAGGAAAGTATTGATTGCTTGTAGCTCATCTTCCTTTGAAACTTGAGAGTTAAAATACCATCTGCTTTTGATCGAAAGAGTTCGTTCCCACTGGAAATTGATCTTGATCCAAAACTTGAGTTGTGCTTGTGCATCCGTTTTACAGATTAACTTTTGCATTTGAATATTGGTTGCTTGCCTCTCAGGCAGAGGCGCTCAGATTTTAAAGGAAACACCTATAGTCAGTCGCCGCATACAACATGCTTGTTTTTTTTCTTTCTCTGCATTTATAAAGAAAAAAGAAAAGAAAGAAAATCAAATAATGGAACTCCGTAGCTCGATCGACAATCCCCAAGGACCTTCTTTAGGTAAACCAAACAGCGCAGTCGGTGAAACGAACCCACAATCTTTGGGACACAATGAAAATGGCTCAGCTATATAGATAAACATACAAACAAACATATATACATTATACATATATTATACATACATACATACATTAGATACATACACATAAACATGCATGCATGCACACATACGCCCGCACATTCGCACTTACATACACACATTAACATGCATACATACATACATACATACATACATACATACATACATACATACATACATACATACATACATACATACATACATACATACATACATACATACATACATACATACATACATACATACATACATACATACATACATACATACATACATACATACATACATACATACATACACACACATACATACATACATACATACAAACATACACACACACATACATACATACATACATACATACATACATACATACATACATACATACATACATACATACATACATACATACATACATACATACATACATACATACATACATACATACATACATACATACATACATACATACATACATACATACATACATACATACATACATACATACATACACACACACATACACACACATACACACATACACACACACACATACATACATACATACATACACACCTACACACATACATACATACATACATACATACATACATACATACATACATACATACATACATACATACATACATACATACATACATACATACATACATACATACATACATACATACATACATACATACATACATACATACATACATACATACATACATACATACATACATACATACATACATACATACATACATACATACATACATACATACATACATACATACATACATACATACATACATACATACATACATACATACATACATACATACATACATACATACATACATACATACATACATACATACATACATACACATACATACATACATACATACATACATACATACATACATACATACATACATACATACATACATACATACATACATACATACATACATACATACATACATACATACATACATACATACATACATACATACATACATACATACATACATACATACATACATACATACATACATACATACATACATACATACATACATACACATACATACATACATACATACATACATACATACATACATACATACATACATACATACATACATACATACATACATACATACATACATACATACATACATACATACATACATACATACATACATACATACATACATACATACATACATACATACATACATACATACATACATACATACATACATACATACATACATACATACATACATACATACATACATACATACATACATACATACATACATACATACATACATACATACATACATACATACATACATACATACATACATACATACATACATACATACATACATACATACATACATACATACATACATACATACATACATACATACATACATACATACATACATACATACATACATACATACATACATACATACATACATACATACATACATACATACATACATACATACATACATACATACATACATACATACATACATACATACATACATACATACATACATACATACATACATACATACATACATACATACATACATACATACATACATACATACATACATACATACATACATACATACATACATACATACATACATACATACATACATACATACATACATACATACATACATACATACATACATACATACATACATACATACATACATACATACATACATACATACATACATACATACATACATACATACATACATACATACATACATACATACATACATACATACATACATACATACATACATACATACATACATACATACATACATACATACATACATACATACATACATACATACATACATACATACATACATACATACATACATACATACATACATACATACATACATACATACATACATACATACATACATACATACATACATACATACATACATACATACATACATACATACATACATACATACATACATACATACATACATACATACATACATACATACATACATACATACATACATACATACATACATACATACATACATACATACATACATACATACATACATACATACATACATACATACATACATACATACATACATACATACATACATACATACATACATACATACATACATACATACATACATACATACATACATACATACATACATACATACATACATACATACATACATACATACATACATACATACATACATACATACATACATACATACATACATACATACATACATACATACATACATACATACATACATACATACATACATACATACATACATACATACATACATACATACATACATACATACATACATACATACATACATACATACATACATACATACATACATACATACATACATACATACATACATACATACATACATACATACATACATACATACATACATACATACATACAAACATACATACAAACACACACACACACACACGCACACGCACACACACACACATACATACACACAAGCGTATATGTCAATAACGATCATACATACATCTTTACCTTTGACAGGTAGAACAGCCCAAGTCTGACTATCTTCATTGATACACAGGAAATGACACAACCATATGGCTTTCAATTATTTTTATGCATTGACGACATGCTTCGTTCAGAGTGGCACTCGTTGTTTCAGAGGTCGCGGGTATTGGACATCTGTATACCTAGCCTATTATGGTGTCTTGAGAAACTAACATCCAGTTAGGTTAGCTGGTGCTGCTCTTCTAACAGGTTAACTGATGCTCGACAAAGCAGATGTGATCAAGGCCCTTAAGGCACATAATAGTGAGACAGATTAAATAAATCTTCACTATTTGAAAAGAGTAATGCCAAAGGGAGTACCCAGAGAATACGACTTAACGATTACAGGCAATGTGGACATTTAATCAGGCTGCAACTGATGACAATGGTTTTGGAATTCTATGCTAGGTTTTGAGTTAGTTGGTCAGATTCAACCCTACCAGGACATCCACTAAGCAGTGACACTATTTGACACAAAGCGCCACCATGTGGATGGGGATCACCCGGGGAGAGGTCTCAGAAACCTCGTTCAACCGTTAGGTTATATTAGGGCACCGACTACAGCCGAGGTGGGGCTT